TTCCAGGAGCGCTACCTGCAGGAGCACCCCGAGGACCAGGGCAGCATCGACAGGCTGAAGGACCTGATCGCCTGGCAGGTAGGACCCCGGCCTCCTCCTTGGCCTGCAGCCGCCCGCACCAGCTCTGGGTGCCTGGGTTCGAAGCGGGGGCTGCGTGACCCCTGCTCCTGCCAGCCTGAGCCGGGCGGGCGCTGCCCTGCCTTACAGCCGGGAGCTTCCCTCTCCGCGGCGCCGGGCTGCGGAGGCGAGACTGACGGGCATTGCCATGCCGCAGGTCCCGCTCCTGGCCGAGGGCATCCGCATCCACGGGCGGAAGGTGAGCGAGGACTTGCGGCCCTTCCACGAGCGCATGGAGCAGTGCTTTGCCCAGCTGTGCGCCAAGGTGGAGAGCCAGTACGGCACACGGGACCTGGTGAGTGCCGGCAATGCTGCGGTGGCCGGGGGGCACAGGCCCCAGGCACGTCTGCAGCAGTACTGACGCCAGAGCTGGGCACAGGCATGGGTGGCTCCATCCTGCGGGCAGGGTGGGGGGAGCAGGGGGCTGGCTGGGAGCGTGCCTGGAGCATGGACCCTGCTGCTGGCACCAGCCTGGGATGCACCCCGGCCAGGGAGCGCAGGGCCCTTGGGGCAGGGGCAAACCCTGACTGCACGCTGCCTGGGGGCTCCTGGGGCCAAGCACATGGAGCAAAGCCAGAGGAGCCAGAGCCCCCTCCCCCAGGCCTGGTGGGCAGTGCCCAGGGATGCCCCCCGCCGTGGGTCCCTGAGAGCTGGTGGGGGGCAGCTCCCGCTGCCCTGCCCTCATGACCCCCTTGTGTCCCAGCCCTTCCTGGAGGAGCGGCGAGGTGGCCGCCCGCGCTCCACACTGCGCTGCCCGGAGCCGGACAAGCCCAGCCGCCCACACGACAGGTAACCCCTGACCCCTCCCCGGGCCCACCCAGCCCCGTGCTGCCTGCACCCTGACCCGGCCCGGCCTCGCCTTGCCCTCCCTCACCGGGCCGTGGCACCTGTGCCGCAGCACCGAGACCTTGCAGCTGAGGAAGCCGGTGCTGCGCGGCCCCGAGCGCCCGCCCGAGCCCGAGGAGCGCCGGAGCGAGCGCCGGGAGAGCCGCGGCAGCGCCTTCTTCGGGTACCGGCGGCAGGATCAGCGCCAGTCTGTGTCGGAGTCGCTGGATGCCAAGGTACCTGCCATATGGGGGGCAAGGGCTGGGTGCCTGCCTGCGCAGGGCGGCCGAGTGGGCAGAGCCCCAGGGCTGGTCTGCAGCCAGCGGGGGATCCATCCCAGCCCCCCCACGGGCCCTGGGTGCCAGCCAGGCCCTGTGCCTGGCAGGGTCTGCTGCGGACGGCCGAGCTCAGCCGAGCCCCGTGCCCCCAGGACGACAAGCGGAGGCAGTCCCGGAACGTGAGCGAGAGCGGCCCGGGCAGCGCGGACGGGAGGCAGCCCCTGCCCAGCCGGGACCCCAGCGCCACAGGTACGCCCTGCGCCACAGGGACGGCCCTCGCAGCCCCAGGGACCAGACACCCATGCCCCCCGTGCCGTTCCCTTGGGCAGCCCCACGCAGGGACTTGCCATGCAGAGCACCCAGCAAGGCTGATCGGGGCCATATCCACTGGCACGTGCCCCCCGGGTCTGCAGAAGGGGCCACGGCGCCTCTCCCCAGTCCCTCCCCATCCCCAGTGCCCCCGAGACCTGGCCTCAGCCTCTGCCCGTGACCCTCTCCCAGCAGCAAAGAGCCCCTTGCCTTGCCCCCGAGCTGGTCCTGCTGACGGGCCTGTCCCACATCTCAGCAGCAGGCAGGGAAGGGAGCAGCTAGGATGGGGCGGGGGTGGTTCAGGTGCCCTGTCTCCCACAGGTGTGCTGGGCTCCCCAACAGGCTTCGGCGGACGGGTGAAGAGCGCCAGCCGGGCCCCGCCACTGCCCAAGAAGATCAGCCCCACCGTGTACGAGACCTTCCTGGAGCCCAGCGACAGCCCCGGCCCGGGGAAGGTACCGTCCATGCCCCCCACCCTCCACCACCTCCCCCATCCTGGCCCGCGGCCCATCCTCACGGCTCCTGCTCCCTTGCAGCCGCCGGAGGGGAGCAAAGCGCTGAAGTCTCCGCCACCGCCGCCCCCCAAGGTCAAGCGCATGTCCCAACTCTGAGGCCGCCTGGGACAGGGTGACCGCAACCGTGACCGCCACTGCCACCGCACCAGTGCCTGCTCCTGCACCCCCCCAGCCCAAGCCTGGCACAGGCAGCCCGAGTAGGTCTCACAGGGCCCTGCTCCCCCAGCCCCTCGCTGCCCCAGGAGGCAGAGGCAGAGGCAGGGCCGCACTTCCTTTGCCTGGGGCACTCCCCAGGGCCACGGGGGGAGACAGGGCAAGCAGGACCCCCAGCGCCTCCCCGGCTGCACCTGGCGGCTCTGCCAGGGCCAGGCCCAAGCTCAAACCCAAACCCAAACCCTGAGCTTCCCCGGCCCAAGCCTGTGAGCCCTTGCCAGCTCTGCTGCACCCTGGAGCTGCTGGTGCTGCACAACCTCCTGCGGGGCTGCCCAGCCTGGGCACATCTCCACCCCGGTGCGGCCCAGCTCCCTCGTGCTCCTTCAGCCTCAGCTGCGTTGCATGAAACCATCCGCAGCCTCCATCGTTGACACCCCCAGGCACTGGCTCGCTGGAGGGCTCCAGCCCCAACCGGGCTGGACCAGAGCCCCCTGCCCACCCACACAAACTGGAGGCTCCAGGAAGACGGCATCAGGACAAAACCGGGACATCGGGCTGTTGCGAGCCAGGCTGCGCCGGGAGCTGCAGCGTGGGAGGGGCACAGCCCACATGCTCTGCGCTTGCTACCCCCTGCTCTGCCAGGCTCCCCAGGCCCGCCTGGACGAGGCTGCTGTACCCCTGCCGGCTGCGCCCCCACGAGCACCAATAAAGGGACTGGATGCAGCTGCTGCGTCCGTGCTGCGGGCAGAGGGGCCAGGGCTGGGTCCTGCAGGCAGACACGGCCCGGAGCCAGCAGCCGACATGGGACGTTTATTGGCTGACGACGGGGTCAAGTCTACAACACGGGGTGGGGGGCCCTGCGGCACCCCTGCACGGGGCAGGAGCAGGGGGCCGGTGCGTGGGCAGGAGTGCAGGGCTGGTCCCGGCGGTGTCTGTCTCATGGCGCTGGTGCCTCCTCACAGAGGACTTGCCGAGGCAGCTGCCAGCCGCTTCCCGATGCAGATCCTGGAGGGAGAGGAGGAGAGTTCCTCAGGGCCTGGACCTGGGTGGGGGGCAGACCCCAGGGCCAAGCGCTGGGGCTCTAGGCCGCTACGAGGAGGGCTCAGGCAGGGCCCCGGACAAGGCCTCGGCTCCGGCTGCCCCGCGCTCACCCGAGCCCCAGCGTGAGCAGGTGGCTGAGCAGCAGCGAGGGGATGAAGAGCAGCAGCAGCTCCGAGCTGAAGAGTCGCCGCTTGCTGCCCGCAGCCCGCCCGTGCAGGCTCGGCCGTGCCCGCGCCAGTGCCAGCGTCCTGCGAGAAACGGGCTGTGAGCTCGGCGGGCGGGTGCTGGGCGTGACGGGGCAGGGGCAGGGGCAGGGGCAGCTCACCTCCCAGACAGGGGCTCGGGGCGGGCGGGGCACGGCCGGGGCCCCGGCCCCGGCCCC